AGTTTTAGTTCAGTTCTAGTTTAGTTCTAGTTCTAGTTCAGTTCTAGTTCAGTTCTAGTTCAGTTCTAGTTCAGTTCTAGTTCAGTTCTAGTTCAGTTCTAGTTCAGTTCTAGTTCAGTTCTAGTCTAGTTCGGTTCTAGTTCAGTTCTAGTTCAGTTCTAGTTCAGTTCTAGTTCAGCTCTAGTTCAGTTCTAGTTCAGTTCTAGTTCAGTTGTAGTTCAGTTCTAGTTCAGTTCTAGTTCAGTTCTAGTTCAGTTCTAGTTCAGTTCTAGTTCAGTTCTAGTTCAGTTCTAGTTCAGTTCTAGTTCAGTTCTAGTTCAGTTCTAGTTCAGTTCTAGTTCAGTTAGTTCTAGTTCAGTTCTAGTTCAGTTTCTATTTGAGTTCTAGGTTCAGTTCTAGTTCAGTTCTAGTTCAGTTCTAGTTCAGTTCTAGTTCAGTTCTAGTAGTTCAGTTCTAGTTCAGTTCTAGTTCAGTTCTAGTTCAGTTCTAGTTCAGTTCTAGTTCAGTTCTAGTTCAGTTCTAGTTCAGTTCTAGTTCAGTTCTAGTTCAGTTCTAGTTCAGTTCTAGTTCAGTTCTAGTTCAGTTCTAGTTCAGTTCTAGTTCAGTTCTAGTTCAGTTCTAGTTCAGTTCTAGTTCAGTTCTAGTCAGTTCTAGTTCAGTTCTAGTTCAGTTCTAGTTCAGTTCTAGTTCAGTTCTAGTTCAGTTCTAGTTCAGTTCTAGTTCAGTTCTAGTTCAGTTCTAGTTCAGTTCTAGTTCAGTTCTAGTTCAGTTCTAGTTCAGTTCTAGTTCAGTTCTAGTTCAGTTCTATAGTTCAGTTCTAGTTCAGTTCTAGTTCAGTTCTAGTTCAGTTCTAGTTCAGTTCTAGTCAGTTCTAGTTCAGTTCTAGTTCAGTTCTAGTTCAGTTCTAGTTCAGTTCTAGTTCAGTTCTAGTTCAGTTCTAGTTCAGTTCTAGTTCAGTTCTAGTTCAGTTCTAGTTCAGTTCTAGTTCAGTTCTAGTTCAGTTCTAGTTCAGTTCTAGTTCAGTAGTTCTCAGTTCAGTTCTAGTTCAGTTCTAGTTCAGTTCTAGTTCAGTTCTAGTTCAGTTCTAGTTCAGTTCTAGTTCAGTTCTAGTTCAGTTCTAGTTCAGTTCTAGTTCAGTTCTAGTTCAGTTCTAGTTCAGTTCTAGTTCAGTTCTAGTTCAGTTCTAGTTCAGTTCTAGTTCAGTTCTAGTTCAGTTCTAGTTCAGTTCTAGTTCAGTTCTAGTTCAGTTCTAGTTCAGTTCTAGTTCAGTTCTAGTTCAGTTCTAGTTCAGTTCTAGTTCAGTTCTAGTTCAGTTCTAGTTCAGTTCTAGTTCAGTTCTAGTTCAGTTCTAGTTCAGTTCTAGTTCAGTTCTAGTTCAGTTCTAGTTCAGTTCTAGTTCAGTTCTAGTTCAGTTCTAGTTCAGTTCTAGTTCAGTTCTAGTTCAGTTCTAGTTCAGTTCTAGTTCAGTTCTAGTTCAGTTCTAGTTCGGTTCTAGTTCAGTTCTAGTTCAGTTCTAGTTCAGTTCTAGTTCAGTTCTAGTTCAGTTCTAGTTCAGTTCTAGTTCAGTTCTTGTTCAGTTCTAGTTCAGTTCTAGTTCAGTTCTAGTTTAGTTCTAGTTTAGTTCTAGTTCAGTTCTAGTTCAGTTCTAGTTCAGTTGTAGTTCAGTTCTAGTTCAGTTCTAGTTCAGTTCTAGTTCAGTTCTAGTTCAGTTCTAGTTCAGTTCTAGTTCAGTTCTTGTTCAGTTCTAGTTCAGTTCTAGTTCAGTTCTAGTTTAGTTCTAGTTTAGTTCTAGTTCAGTTCAGTTCTAGTTCAGTTGTAGTTCAGTTCTAGTTCAGTTCTAGTTCAGTTCTAGTTCAGTTCTAGTTCAGTTCTAGTTCATATACTCTCGGAGTTATCATAAAAACAGTCATGAATAAAATACCTATACACATTATAAACAACACTAGTAATTACAAACGAAAAAAACTATTAAAAGAACATTTTATAAGTTCACAATGATTATGTAGTTAAATATCTATGTTTTTGTTAAATTATGTATATAATTTTCACCTGCTGACAAACCGAATGGTTTAGCGGGTTCTTAATTTCATAAACATATAAAACAAAATTGTTAGATTTAAGAAATCATTGTAAATCAAAATTAATGAAATTAATAAATAAAATTAATTAAAAAAAAAAAAAAGTTCTAGTTCAGTTCTAGTTCAGTTCTAGTTCAGTTCTAGATCAGTTCTAGTTCAGTTCTAGTTCAGTTCTAGTTCAGTTCTACTTCAGTTCTAGTTCAGTTCTAGTTCAGTTCTAGTTCAGTTCTAGTTCAGTTCTAGTTCAGTTCTAGTTCAGTTCTACTTCAGTTCTAGTTCAGTTCTAGTTCAGTTCTAGTTCAGTTCAGTTCTAGTTCAGTTCTAGTTCAGTTCTACTTCAGTTCTAGTTCAGTTTAGTTCAGTTCTAGTTCAGTTCTAGTTCAGTTCTAGTTCAGTTCTAGTTTAGTTCTAGTTCAGTTCTAGTTCAGTTCTAGTTCAGTTCTAGTTCAGTTCTAGTTCAGTTCTAGTTCAGTTCTAGTTCAGTTCTAGTTCAGTTCTAGTTCAGTTCTAGTTCAGTTCTAGTTCAGTTCTAGTTCAGTTCTAGTTCAGTTCTAGTTCAGTTCTAGTTCAGTTCTAGTTCAGTTCTAGTTCAGTTCTAGTTCAGTTCTAGTTCAGTTCTAGTTCAGTTCTAGTTCAGTTCTAGTTCAGTTCTAGTTCACTTCTAGTTCAGTTTTAGTTCAGTTTTAGTTCAGTTCTAGTTTAGTTCTAGTTCTAGTTCAGTTCTAGTTCAGTTCTAGTTCAGTTCTAGTTCAGTTCTAGTTCAGTTCTAGTTCAGTTCTAGTTCAGTTCTAGTTCAGTTCTAGTTCGTCGGTTCTAGTTCAGTTCTAGTTCAGTTCTAGTTCAGTTCTAGTTCAGCTCTAGTTCAGTTCTAGTTCAGTTCTAGTTCAGTTGTAGTTCAGTTCTAGTTCAGTTCTAGTTCAGTTCTAGTTCAGTTCTAGTTCAGTTCTAGTTCAGTTCTAGTTCAGTTCTAGTTCAGTTCTAGTTCAGTTCTAGTTCAGTTCTAGTTCAGTTCTAGTTCAGTTCTATTTGAGTTCTAGTTCAGTTCTAGTTCAGTTCTATTTGAGTTCTAGTTCAGTTCTAGTTCAGTTCTAGTTCAGTTCTAGTCCAGTTCTAGTTCAGTTCTAGTTCAGTTCTAGTTCAGTTCTAGTTCAGTTCTAGTCCAGTTCTAGTTCAGTTCTAGTTCGGTTCTAGTTCGGTTCTAGTTCAGTTCTAGTTCAGTTCTAGCTTAGTTCTAGTTCAGCTCTAGTTCAGTTCTAGTTTAGTTCTAGTTCAGCTCTAGTTCAGTTTCTAGTTCAGTTCTAGTTCAGTTCTAGTTCAGTTCTAGTTCAGTTCTAGTTCAGTTCTAGTTCAGTTCTAGTTCAGTTCTAGTTCAGTTCTAGTTGAGTTCTAGTTGAGTTCTAGTTCAGTTCTAGTTCAGTTCTAGTTCAGTTCTAGTTCAGTTCTAGTTCAGTTCTAGTTCAGTTCTAGTTCAGTTCTAGTTCAGTTCTAGTTCAGTTCTAGTTCAGTTCTAGTTCAGTTCTAGTTCAGTTCTAGTTCAGTTCTAGTTCAGTTCTAGTTCAGTTCTAGTTCAGTTCTAGTTCAGTTCTAGTTCAGTTCTAGTTCAGTTCTAGTTCAGTTCTAGTTCAGTTCTAGTTCAGTTCTAGTACAGTTCTAGTACAGTTCTAGTTCAGTTCTAGTTCAGTTCTAGTTCAGTTCTAGTTCAGTTCTAGTTCAGTTCTAGTTCAGTTCTAGTTCAGTTCTAGTTCAGTTCTAGTTCAGTTCTAGTTCAGTTCTAGTTCAGTTCTAGTTCAGTTCTAGTTCAGTTCTAGTTCAGTTCTAGTAGTTCTAGTTCTAGTTCAGTTCTATTTCAGTTCTAGTTCAGTTCTACTTCAGTTTCAATCCAGTTCTAGTTCAGTTTTGTTGCAGTTCTAGTTGAGTTCTAGTTCGGTTCTATTTCAGTTCTAATTAAGTTCCAGTTTAGTTCTTGTTCTATATAAATTTAAGTTCAGATCTTAAGTCACTTTTTTTTATAAATTTTGAACGATTACATAGGTTATGACCCCTACTAATGATAGACATTTTGAAAATTCCTTTTATCAATAAAATGCAGTGTTTTATTTATCTCTTTGGCAACACTATTTAATCATTATATTTATAGACCTTGATCTAACCCCCCCTTATTCAGCAAACGTGCCAATTATATTAAAACGCTATAACTTGTGCATTTTTAAAGTAAAACGCTCTCGTTTTTAACAAGCATGCCGTCAAAACAAACCATTAGCTGCGTGTATTAATTGTAAAAAAATAAACGAACTCTTTGCTAATTCTGTTTTAAAGAACGAGAGTATGAGAGATGCGATATGCATGCATTATATTATTTATGGTTGTATTTTTTTTCTTCTATACATATCAATAGACAGTTTGTCAGTACTTTAGTTTATTTTTACTTTACCTACCCTAACTTAAGGCTTCGTTATTATTTTTAATCAAGCAAGATGAAGAAGAGGAAGAAGAGTATTATGTTTAGATTAAAAGAGAAACAAATAAAATTTTACACTCAAAGTGAGTTAGTTTACTTTTTGCCAGTGTAACAACATCGGCTGCTTTAACACCATTAAAAATTGTATGTGCATTACAGCAACAATAGCAGCAACAACAATATAATGTATTGTGTATATTGTGTTGTATAGGCATATGTTTAATATCTGTTGTATTTCTAAAGGGTCTTTCAATTTTTGTTCAAAACCCAGGCACACAAAAATCATACATACACACACACACAACAGACCCAACACCCATACTCAGACAAATGGTGTGAAGAAACTGAAAAAAAAAACTCCTCTAGCTGTTTATATGACAAAAATATAAATTTTTGTTAGTCGGATTTTAAACGTCTACTCGAACGTTTCGTATGAATGGATTATATTTGTTTTAAAAATTGAAGAAAAACAAATCGTTAAACGATTTTCAAAACGAGCGCGCGTAAAAGCTGTAAAAAATTTGAAAAAATCAAACGAAAATGTTATATAAAAGAAAATTGCAAATAAAATTGAATAAATCAGCAATATTAACAGTGACGGCTATAACAATTTGTAAAAATTTAAACGAATTTTATTGAAATAGAAAAAAGTTGTTCAATTTAAGTGATAAAATTTCAAAACGAATTAAATGTTACCCTGGTTACCATTAAATTTATTATGGTATCATCTCGGGAACGTAATAACAAACGTCAAAATTTATGTTCAAATAGAAATAAATTGAGTAAATGTCATTTAAACGTGGCAAGTGAAAATAATACATTAGAAACTCAGCGTAATCAAGAACATAGTAAAATTATAATAAATTCTTTGTCTTACGGTTTGAACTCTACCATTTTGTTGACACATAAAATGTTAAATCGTAAAGGTTCTTATACCGTAACACCAACAAAAATGTCAACTGCCATCATAACATCACCAGCAGTTTCAACGCTAAGAACATTAGCAACAGCAACATCCTCCATTCCACAAACAATTTCATGCACTACAAAATCATCAACATCGCCATCACCATCATCATCTGCATCTTCATCATCCACCTTGTCAACGACATCATCATCGTCATCATCAGCTGCTGCTGTTGCAACTTTAACCATGACCAGAAAACGTTGTTTATTATTGGCAAAATCTGCATCTGCAGCCTCTACATTACAACAGCGTCGTCAAAGGTATACCATCATCATCATCCTCCCCTCTTTTTATACCCCTCTACAGCATCCTGCTATGGCTCTTTAATTGGAGCCTCCCAGCAGCCGGTTTTTTTCATTCATATATTCGCTTATAATTGGATACGTGTTTTTTAAAACTCATAACGGCTTAAATTCTATCAGTGATCTGCGCAAAAAAATTATATATATAAATCTTCATATTCATTTATCAATGAATTTTATTTTTCTTAATTAGTTTACCATATTAACAAGTGTTGAAGGATAATTGGAAACCAAAAAAATAATGATGATATTTTTGAAGTGTTAAAGAAATTTAAATGTGAACAAAAATGTAATTAAATTGATGAAATGATTTAAGTGTTAAAATGTAAAAAAAAATTTTAATTAAAAGAAGAAAACTGATAAAAAGAAACATTAAAAAATATATTAAAAATCGCATTAATTAAATATTAAAAAACTATATATTAAACTAAATATTTTAAATTGAAGCACCAATGATCAGTTAAAGTGTTAATCTCTTGAAAATTTTGTGAAAAATAGAAAAACTTTAGATTAAGATATCTTAAAGAAGAAAGCAGATATAACAGAGTTGAAACCTTCCTTTTAAAGTCGATCGATTAAACTTTTAGATAGTTTAACAAAATCTATAAATTATTAGGTCTTTGCGTTTTAACAACGTCTCAAATATGGTAAAAAATGGGGGGTTTTCAAACTTTTAAAGGTGTAACCAGAGTGTTGAAGAAATTCAGATTGCGGATTCAGAGCAACTCAATACTTTACAAAAGTATACTTTAGTCTCTGGTATAAAGGAATTTTCAAAACTTTTAGGGGTTTCAACCTAGAAGTTTTTCCGAATGGATTCTTCAAAGAAATAATTGTGAAAGAATCAGAGTATCCCCGTAAAACTCTCTCCTAGAAATGACTTACTCCCCTGATAAAATCTAGTAAATGGCGAGGATTTAGTCACGCAATTTCCCACTGTTCGTCATGGAACATATTACACAGAGATTTCAAACTGAGATTCTGTATTATATGACTGTGGCTAACTGAAGTAGATAAAATCTCGTAAATGACGAGCATTAAGTCACTCAATTTCCCACAGTTCGTCATGGAACCTATTTCCCAGAGATTTTAAACTGAGAATCTGTATTATATGCTTAAACGTCTCTAGTTCCTCTGCATCTTCGCATATTATACAATAGTCTGGTATATTACTAACACACTTACTAACAAAAGCCCTAATTGAACAATGGCCCCTTAAGATCCCAGATTGTACCTATCTAGTCATATAAGTAACTTGGTAGCCCACACATCAAGTTGTGTCCCTAAGACCTTTGATATTATACAATCCATTCTACTATTCACGGGCTGGTTGATGATTTCACAGATTCTCTTGAAAATCAAACTATAATAGAAACAGTTGAGAGATTTCACACTTCGATCCCGTCCCTATTATCTTTAACAAAGTTTGAATCCAATGTAGCTAGTTCGTCTGCAATCACATTACCATGCATATTGCAGTGCTCCGGAACCCGGAACACAGTCTAATAGGAAACAGTCTCATATCTTTATAATCAGGCGCGAATGCGAAATTCCACATGACATTCCAACGCTCTAAGAGCAGCTTAACTATCATAATTTATCATAGTTTGTCACAAAATCCGATCCTAAATCGATATGATTCCGAATCATTTCCGTCCCTTTCGAGATCAGTAGAATCTCTGCTTGAAAGACACAGCATTCAGTCAGGGAGTCTGAAAGATAAACGATAAAGTAACCAATAAGAGTTTAAACCGTGAATTAAACTGGTTCCAAATTTAGATCTCGTTTCTTTTTTTTAATACTCTTCTCTCTCAAATTACATTTTCCAAAAATTGCCCAACTCTATTCACTTAAATTTTGATCACTACCTGTATATTTCAAATCCCTTTTTTTTGTCTTATTCAAAAATTTACCTGCTCTAGAGGGTTTAAAACTCAAATAAATAAAAACATTTTAATCAATTAAGAGAATTACTTCATCTGTTGCTATTTCATTAAAAAAATGGGGTTTTTCCTAAAACATTTAAATGAAATTTTGAGTAGAAATATAAAAATTACAACAATTTTTCAAATCGCAGAGATTAAATTTAAATCTTAAAGGAACAAGGAGTAGGATTCCTTAATGTTCTAACAAGAGTTGCCAATTAAGTTTTAAGAAAGAGTTAGAGTTAGTTAATATTGTGTGGAAGATTTTCTTCAAAAAATGTCTATTACAAGATTTAATTTTTGAAAACTTCTTTAACTCCGAAGGAGTTTACTTTCGATGATCTTGCCTTCTCTAGTGTAATACATGTTTCGAAGTTGATAAAGATTAAAGACGGAATACGATGTTCTATATAAAACCCCTTTTCTCGATCACGTTATCAGTTCCAAACTTAAGATGAAATGTTTAGAACATCTAGGTTCTTGAATTGATCAATTGACATTTTCGAAGGAAACATACGATCATTATCTTAGGAATCCGACAAAATTAAGTTATTTTTGTTTGATTTCCAAAATTCTCGACCCCTGATGTAAATTAGGGATAGAGTTTGGTGTCCGACAACTTTTGTTAGATTTGTTAAGATCCTTAAATCGAATTGACAAATCTCCTTGGAGCTATTGTTACGATCACAATATTAAGAAAGAAACGTACGATCATTGACTATGGTATCCAACAAATTCAAACCGCTTTAGTTGGATTTATCAAATTTCCTATAATTCTTACTTTCCTATAATTATTTACATCCCAGTTGATCCAACGGCATTGAACTAATGTCTCTATCAAAACTTGCTCAAAGAAACATACGATCACTGGTTTTGGGGGTTCGATAAGTTCAAGGAAACGTTTGAATTGACTGATCTATATTGATCTAATGTGTGATCGTGACTTTAGATCAATACAGATAGTTCTAAGATAATTACGATCATTGACTCTTGGGCTCTTACGGGTTCTATCAACTTTTGTGGAATTTGACAAGATCTTAATCTTAATGATGAACTTTTCAATTGACCGAATCTGTATTGATCTAATGTCATGATCATGATATGGATTTATCTCTTCTACTTTTTCGTTTTGTTGAATTTAACAAATTCTTAATCTTAATGATGATCATTCGACTTGACCGATCTACATTGGTGTAATATCATGATCACTACATTCTCATAGATACAGAATATTAGCTTTGGGGTCCCACAGGTTAAAATAACTTTTGTGCGATTTAACAAGATCTTACTTAGTCTTAACAATGATCAATCAAATCATTCGATCTATGTTGATCTAACAGCATTGATATAATGTCACTATCAAAACTTGTTCAAAGAGACATACGATCATTGGCTTTGGACTTTCGATCAAAAAACTCAATAAGAAACATTTGAATTGACCGATCTACATTGATCTAAAGTGTGTTTATAACATTAGATCGATACAGATCATTTAAAGCGAACTACAATCATTAACTTTGTACTCTTACGTGTTTTAATCTTAATGATAAAGTTTTAGATTTACCGATCTTTATTAATATAATGTTAGGATCATGATCATGATATGAATATGGATTTTATCCTGACTTTTATTTGCTTTTATTGAACTTAATAAGATCTTAATGTTAAACATTCATATTGAAAGATTTGCATTGATCTTATGTCGCGATCACAATATTCTTAAAGATAAATACAATACAATTGACCTGGATTTCAAAGTTTCTGAATAACTTTAACAAGATCTCAATCTGGTCATAATCGTGGTATAATTTCGACGTTTCTGAACAATGTTAACAAGATCTCAATCTTGTCACGATCATCATACATATGTTCAAAAACAGACAGATCATTGATCTTGAAGTTTCGATTTATAGATTTCGCTATAAATCTGCTGGCGATCTTTTACAATAACAACTATATTTTCTCCTAAGCCTAAATATTGCTCTCTTTGTTTTGATTCAAATTTCTGATCTCCATCAGCCTAAGAGAAATGATCATACTTTTAATGACTTTTATGATCTTAAGTCTCAAAATAAAACAAAAATTTCCCAATGTGTTTTTCCATCATTAAATTCATATTTTCTCATTAATAATAATAAAAAAAATCGTTTTACAACCTGCCGCCTTATCTATAGCATCATTATTTAGGGAAAATATTCTATCAGAATTTTTGATTTTCTAAAAATCTATTAATATTTCCTGTTTGAGTAGAAAATCCTAATCTTTGAATGAAATGAAAAAGAAAAGAATTCATCATGCATTTTGTTTTTTTTTATTCATAAAATTTCATAACCTAAATCTACTTTTGGAAATCTTTCTCTCTTTCACCTGTCAATCTAAGCAAATGATACACATACACACACACAACTTTTTGAAATTTGAACAATTTCATAAGTGGAAAAAAAATCAATATTTTTCTAAAATCTTTTGGAATTTGTTTTTTATCTTTATAAAAGTAGAGGCTTTGAAATCTAAGTAAATAATCACATATACATACATACTTGTATGTATGTGTATACAATTTAAGGTAAAATAAGTGGAGGAGTTGTTATAGGAAACCCAACTGTTGCAGTTATTTATAGTAATTATATGTTAGATGAAAAGTATGTTAAGGATTTTCCTAGAATTTTATAAAAATTTTTTAAAATTGTTTGTTTTGAACAATAAGAATTCAAGCTGTTTCTGTGAATCCTTGTTACATCAGGGAGGTCCTTTAAATTGATTACAGTTTCTTTTGCAGTCTTTAAAATGTTTCTTTAATTCGAAAACCACATTTCTTTAACACTTTTATTGTCTCTTTAGAAATTTTCTTTGGAATTTTCACACCATCAATCAAATATCTCTTTTTCTCCTTTATCCTTTTTCACTTGTTTTTTTTTAACTCTTTTCTCATAGAAAATAAAGAATTGTAGTCCTTTGCTTAAGAAAAATACGTTTTTGTTAAAAATTTAATTGTTTCTTCTAAACAATTGCAAACTTTATGATCTGTCATAAATTTTTATGTTTCAAATATTTCTCTTTTTTCCCTTTCAAACTCTCAAAATTACCTCTATTACCTGTTACAAAGAATATGGCGCGAGTCTTTACGCGTGTTTTAAAATTTTTACACAATTTCATGTAAATAAATTACAATTTTCTAAAAAAAAGTATTAAAAAAAACTTTTCTTGTTTTAAATTAAGCAAAAAGTGTTTTGTTACACAACAATAATGCTTTTTAATGTTACTTTCCTAGAAAAGAAATTTTTAAATTTATTTTCACTAATTACTCTCTTTTTTTTAATACTTGTACCTGTTTTTCCTTCTTCCTTTACAGATACACACGTACAACGACAACAAATGACGCTATTAATGTCATTGGCATACGTAATGGTTTTCCAACAAATTTGGTAAGTGTAGTAATCATTCTTTTTTTTTCATTTCTTTAAAAACAAATTTCTAATGAATCTAATGGAATTTAGTTGCTGCTACTTTTTTTTCTCAAAATGAACATAAATTTGTATCTTTAGATAAAACGTTTTTTGTTTGAACACTTTTATTATTGAACTAAACTGAAATTGAATTACTGTGACCAATTAAAATTGTATTTGAAATTTCTTTCTTTATGGTTTCTATTGGATTTTGTTGGAAGAAGAAAAGGGGTATTAAATTGCAAGAGAGATAAAATTTTATTAAATTTTTCAATTAAAAAGGGAGGGATAAGGATATCAAAAGGGAATTTAAGAGATTTTGTTAAAGGAAAATATAGCATTCTTGAGTGGCAATCCTTTTTTTTTATTACAACAAAAAATTTTAAAAAAATTTTGGGAAATAGTTCGAAATGTTGTAATTTTCAATAGAAAATTTGAAATATTATAGAAATTTGAGAAATTTTGAAATTTTATAACAAAATTTTCAAATTTTATTTTTCTCCTTTAATAGAAATTTTCTTCTTTTTTTGTAGGATTTTTTAAAAAATTCCTTTGTTTTATTGAGAATTTTTGATATTTTCTCTTTTTTATACAAAATTTTCAAAATTTTCTTGATTTTTAAATTTTTCGAAATGTTCTCTTTTTATAAAAAATTTTCGAAATTTTCTCTCTTTTTGAAGATTTTTTTTTTTTTGCTTTTTTATAGAAAATTTTTGAAATGTACTCTTTTTTATAGATTTTTTAATCTACTCTTTTTTTAGGTTATCGAAATATTCTCTTTTTGTTAGAAAATTTTCGAACAAATTCCTTTTTATTAGAAAATTTTCGAAGAAATTCTCTTTTTATAGAAAATTTTCGAAATTTTCTTTTTTTACAGAAAATTTTCTCATTTTTATAGATAATTTTTGAAATGTTCCTTTTTTATAGAAAATTTTTAAAATTTTCTCTTTTTTATAGAAGATATTCGGAAGTTTCTCTGTTTTATAAAAAATTTTCGAAATTTGTCTTTTTTTATAGAAAATTTTCGAAAAGTTTTTGTTTAAAAAACAAATATTTTCTTTCCTTTCGAAACCTTTCGAAATTTTCTCTTTTTATAGACATTTTTTGAAGTGTTCTCTTTTTTGTATAGAAGATTTCCGAAATGTTTTCTTTTTTTATAGAAAAATTTTCGTTGTTCTAGTTCAGTTAGTTCTAGTTCAGTTCTAGTTCAGTTCTAGTTCAGTTCTAGTTCAGTTCTAGTTCAGTTCTAGTTCAGTTCTAGTTCAGTTCTAGTTCAGTTCTAGTTCAGTTCTAGTTCAGTTCTAGTTCAGTTCTAGTTCAGTTCTAGTTCAGATCAGTTCTAGTTCTAGTTCAGTTCTAGTTCAGTTTAGTTCAGTTCTAGTTCAGTTTTAGTTCAGTTCTAGTTCAGTTCTAGTTCAGTTTAGTTCAGTTCTAGTTCAGTTCTAGTTCAGTTCTAGTTCAGTTCTAGTTCAGTTCTAGTTCAGTTCTAGTTCAGTTCTAGTTCAGTTCTAGTTCAGTTCTAGTTCAGTTCTAGTTCAGTTCTAGTTCAGTTCTAGTTCAGTTCTAGTTCAGTTCTAGTTCAGTTCTAGTTCAGTTCTAGTTCAGTTCTAGTTCAGTTCTAGTTCAGTTCTAGTTCAGTTCTAGTTCAGTTCTAGTTCAGTTCTAGTTCAGTTCTAGTTCAGTTCTAGTTCAGTTCTAGTTCAGTTCTAGTTCAGTTCTAGTTCAGTTCTAGTTCAGTTCTAGTTCAGTTCTAGTTCAGTTCTAGTTCAGTCTAGTTCAGTTCTAGTTCAGTTCTAGTTCAGTTCTAGTTCAGTTCTAGTTCAGTTCTAGTTCAGTTCTAGTTCAGTTCTAGTTCAGTTCTAGTTCAGTTCTAGTTCAGTTCTAGTTCAGTTCTAGTTCAGTCTAGTTCAGTTCTAGTTCAGTTCTAGTTCAGTTCTAGTTCAGTTCTAGTTCAGTTCTAGTTCAGTTCTAGTTCAGTTCTAGTTCAGTTCTAGTTCAGTTCTAGTTCAGTTCTAGTTCAGTTCTAGTTCAGTTCTAGTTCAGTTCTAGTTCAGTTCTAGTTCAGTTCTAGTTCAGTTCTAGTTCAGTTCTAGTTCAGTTCTAGTTCAGTTCTAGTTCAGTTCTAGTTCAGTTCTAGTTCAGTTCTAGTTCAGTTCTAGTTCAGTTCTAGTTCAGTTCTAGTTCAGTTCTAGTTCAGTTCTAGTTCAGTTCTAGTTCAGTTCTAGTTCAGTCTAGTTCAGTTCTAGTTCAGTTCTAGTTCAGTTCTAGTTCAGTTCTAGTTCAGTTCTAGTTCAGTTCTAGTTCAGTTCTAGTTCAGTTCTAGTTCAGTTCTAGTTCAGTTCTAGTTCAGTTCTAGTTCAGTTCAGTTCAGTTCTAGTTCATTCTAGTTCAGTTCTAGTTCAGTTCTAGTTCAGTTCTAGTTCAGTTCTAGTTCAGTTCTAGTTCAGTTCTAGTTCAGTTCTAGTTCAGTTCTAGTTCTTTCTAGTTCAGTTCTAGTTCAGTTCTAGTTCAGTTCTAGTTCAGTTCAAGCTCAGTTCTACCTCAGTACCAGCAGTTCTAGTTCAGTTCTAGTTCAGTTCTAGTTCAGTTCTAGTTCAGTTCTAGTTCAGTTCTAGTTCAGTTCTAGTTCAGTTCTAGTTCAGTTCTAGTTCAGTTCTAGTTCATTTCAAGTTCATTTCAAGTTCAGTTCTAGTTCAGTTCTAGTTCAGTTCTAGTTCAGTACTAGTTCAGTTCTTGTTCAGAAAAATTAACTTTTTTTAGAACATTTTTAAGAAATTCTCTTTTTCCTCAGATTGATTGTATAAAATCTTAATTTTCATATAAAGAATCGTTTTATGTTCAAAGTGGCTTCAACTTGACTTTATTCACACGAAAGTAAAATGGCCGTGTTATGATATGTCACATGATTTCTTGAGAAAAACAAAAACTTTTAGACAAAAAACAGACATCATATAATAATACCTACATCATGAACTAGTTTAGTTTTTATATATTTTAGTTTAAATACAAATTGTTTTACTTTCCTTTCAAAAAGGGTGCGTCTTTTTTGGGGGGCGAGGGTTGGGGTGCAGAGCACATCTTTTTATGACATGTTATATTTACAAAACGTGAGTGTTGTGCTGGTTTTTAGGATGCGTTTTGTCGCCACAAAACAAAATTTCTATTTTGTTATCCTTTTTGTCATGGTTGTAGTGTTTCATTTTAGGTTTTCTTTTCTTCTTTTGATTGCTTGTTGTCATGTAGAACATGTCGAAAAGTTGCAACCATATGTTGCAGGCGTGTCTTGTTACATGGAGACTAATGATGATTATAAATGGGGGATGAATGAATATAAATATGTACATATGTATATGAGTGTATGCATTTGGAAATAGCTGCTAGAAATGCATTCATATTGCAGATCTTAATTGGAATTTATTAAAACGATGACAGCTACAACGAAAACTAGAAAATTAAAGATTTGAAAAGTCGATTTTTTTTATTGATTTTTAACGATTTTCCTATAACTTTACTTTACATAAAGTTAGTTGCAAAATGGTTTATGTAGAGATTTTAGATTTGATATTTTCAGATCTAAATATTGAAGTTTTAAGATATTTTATTTTCAAATAATATGGTTTTTGTTTATCCTCAAAAACATACTTAGAGCCTTTGGCTGCTAAGGCGTCCATTCCTATTTTCATTAACCAAAATAAACAAAGTCTTAAGTGGTCAAATTGTGTGTTTATATTGAGTTTGAAAATATTTAAACAAAAATCCTTATTTAATCCTTTTTCTGTGCTAAAAACTGGTCTGCAAAAGATAATAAAATTTCCCTGCAACTAAGTAAACCAAACATTTTCAAAATACCTTTCTTCCTTTTTTATACTCTATAGGCTTTTAACTAAATTAAATGTGGAAACTAAAAGTAAACCAAAATATCCTTTTCACATGTTGTTTATCTATAACCAAAAAAACCCAAAAGGCTTTAAGTAACAAATCCTTTTAACACTTCACTATGTAAATATAAACCAAATAGTAACAAAATTTAAAAAAATATATAATTTATTTATATTTGCTGAAAAAAAATCAACAAAAAAATGTTTCTTTTTATTCAAGTAATGATGAAAGACAGAAGGAAAGAAAGAAGGTAAATCATGAAAAAAGCAACAAATTCTTCATGCCACATACTGCAGTTATAAATAAATAAATAAAAAATATATATAATCAACGGATATAAAAATAGATAAAGATCTATTGAATGGCGGAAAGTTAAACACCAGACGCGTCACATGTTTAAATATATCCGTTTTTTGTTTTTGTTTTAACTTCTTTATTTGTTTCAGTATTCTTCTGTTTTGTTTAACTTACAACATTTATTCTTTGACTCTGCCACAGAGTTTTAGTTATTTTTATATTTTTTTTTTTTTTTTGTATTTTTTGGAAGTGGAAGGAAACAACAAACAGAAGAAGAAAAATCGAATAAATAAACATTGACTTTTAGAGTTCAGAAAACTCATTAATAATCTACACCACTAGTAGTAAAAGTAGAGAAATTTGTTTAAAATATATTTAAAACATTATTTATCTGTTTTTTTTTTACGAAAATTACATATTTTAAACGTGTATAGACAAGAAAGAAGAAAAGAGATACAAAAACTTCATGTTGAAATAATTTGAACTTGTTGATATATGACAAAAAAAATTGGAAATTGTGACAAAAAATTTCAATAATTTTCTATAAAAAAGAGAAAATTTCGATAATTTTTTATAAAAAAATCGAAATTTTTCTATAAAAATTTAAAAATTTCGAAAATATTCTATAAAAAAAGAGAAAATGTCGAACATTTTTTTTTATTAAAAAGAGAAAAATTTTCTTTAAAAACTAGAAAATTTTCAAAATTTCAAAATAAATTTTTTTTTTCGAAAAATTTTCAATAAAAAATTTCGAAAATTTTCTATAAAAAACAGAAAATTTTCAAAAATTATCTTTAGAAACA